AATTTATCTTATTTATCTGCTCTACTCTGCTTTCATTTGCTTCTTTATCTCGCTTTGCTTTATTTTAAAATCAATCTTTTATTTGATTATTTTATGTACATATATACTCTAGCCTCCATTGACTAATTCGTCTTCCTCTTTTTCCTCTTTTCGTGATCAAAACTGCAGCCAACCCTGGATGATAACAATTTTGGGTAAAGCAAGGCTGTGTGAAACTTAATAGAAACTTAAGGTCTACTAATATAATTGTGGAAACTTTCAACTGCAGGTGCTCTTATCACCTTAAGCGAAATAGGATTAATAAATCTTCCTATTCAATTTTGTGAGCTGGAAGCCAACCTAATTTAAAATATCCTTATAAAGTTAATAAGATTATAAGTGAATATGTTTCAACCTAGTGCGTTGAATGTTATGAATAACTTATAGACTAATTTTTTGCGCTGAAATGTATGATATCAACAATCTCATTAAATTTCCTTTAACCTTGTTTACACGAACGCTTTTCCTATATTGGCTAGTTTATAGTTCTTATTTATTCAACGGCATTATAAGCTAAATTATACACTAAAAATAAAGATGCGTTACTCCTCCCAAAACAGCTTCGGATATCTGTGGATTACAGAAAACACGTTGTCCTCAGAGTTACATAAGCCTCCCTCTAATACTATTTGTAGTAGGATTGAGGATGAGATAAACTTACAATAGCTGTTATACTTTACGATATTACTTATATACTTCATGCTTATGTTTCGAGACTACTAGTGATCTATCGAAAGCATGGCTTGCTTTGTAAGTGACAGTTGCCCTTTTATTAAGTGGAACTGCTGACTGTTTTATTGGTATGCAAAACACACAATTGAATATCTAGGGAATGTATATTTTTAATTTAGAGGGTAGCATCAATAATATGAAAATAAATTTCATGAACACGATATAAGCCATGAAAAGCATTTTTAGGTATAGGAATAGCCATATTGGTGTAGGTAAAATCACAAATTATATATTTTTATTACCATACTGTTGTAATACCAACCAGCTGTTGAGGGAAATTTAGCTTCTTAACTTTATTTTGAAGAGTGCCTCTGCGTAATATATGTAGTTTTTTTTACCTAATTAATCCTATTGTTTTACTATTAATAATTCTTTTATCTTCACTATATATATATATATATATACATATATATATGTATAAGAATTAAAGTGCTATTTTAGCTGATTTTTTTTAGCAAGATATCATAAATAATCCAGTATCAAGTTAAGTAAGCTTTTATTAAAATAATTAGTTAATTTGATGCCACCACGGCTGCTATGTTTGTGCTGATCGTTTGACTTCATCTAATCTTTCCCTGAGCTACCTTTCTGGCTTCTTTACCTTATGCCTCTATAATTCTTAATTTATACCTGTATCGCCTGACTGACAACCTCTATTTATTACACTGCAAATGGTGTCCCACTAATTTATTGGCAATCCTATTCGTTACATTTTGATGAAAGCTGCCTTGCCATGGAATATGGACGAAGATTTGACGTAATTGTTCTTGGTGCTGGCATATCCGGTCTTGCAGCCGCGAAGATTCTCGCAAAAGAAGGCTTAAAGTGTATAGTGCTTGAGGCTCGCAATAGACATGGTGGCAGGATACATACTATCAGACTAAATGGTCCTTTGCCAGTTTCTCCTGTAGCGCAGGCTAATTCAGATTCTGAAACGATTCAACCTTGCCAGAAACATCAAACTTTAACCTTAGATCTTGGCGCAAACTACCTACATGGCTGTGTTTTAAATCAAGAATCCCAGCCTCTGTTCACGTTAGCCCATCGTCTGCGCCTCAAATCATCTCCTGCTGCAGGAGACGTACTGGGTCCACATCGTGGGTGGGAATGCCCAGAGGTTGCTGCTTGGCGTGATAATTTTACTGGTGAACTTATTCCCCTTCATGAAGTCACCGAAATGAGCTTCCTTTTGGATAGGTGCCTTGTCAGCGCTCTCGCTATTGCCAAGCGATGCCTCATATCTAAAGCCAAAAGAAGGTCTCTTTCATCAGTATTTAAGCAGTAAACCATATTTTTCATGGTAACCTCTTCTAGGTCTTTGAATAGTAGTCTTCGCTTGCTATATAAGACTGGTCATAGAGTCTCTCTGGAATTGACGCCTAGAGAAAAAGGGATTTTTGACTCACTTTTTGCTCGTTACATAGCGTATGTAAATCCGCCTAATCGGCTGTCTCCTTTTCTGAATCTTGGTCCACATTTCGAGGTATATCTTAATGTTTTGATTCATCATTTCCTATATTATTCATTATATTTGCTTTAGACTCCTCTTCTGAGTATGAATAGATTATTAATATCCTCATTCATACCTGGCATCTGTTGATTTAGCGCATTGTGGTGTTTAATATTATTCGAATCTAGGCTGACGCTATGGCAGGTCTTGCAGATGAACCGGACCATCCATCTGCAGCCTCGAAAATATTCTATATTGATTGGTTGCAGAGGAAACGAGATCATATTCGCACCAAAGGTCCTGAGGCTTCCCATGCTCGGCGCGTTGGCTACAAATGGGAAGATCGTCTTGTACTTTCCGGATTTGGTCGTATGACTGACTTTCTCGCAGAGGGTGTTGAAATTCATTATAACACTGTCGTCCGGCATGTTGACTGGACCAATGCATCAACATCCTATATTAGGGTATGGTTTTATCGTCATTCCTGCCTTACTAATAACTTATCAGTAACTATCTCTTCGCCTTTTCATGGCTCGATTCACTATATCGCAGCTACTAAAACTAAGATGTGGTGTTAGGTTTGTTTGCTATGCAATTTGGCTATATCGTCGCCTCATTAATTTCGACTTCCATTTTATATTTATTTATTTATGATACACCAGTAACTTTTCCATGCCTTTAGTCTTGTCTAGCTCAGTATAGTCGGTTTATTTGGATCACCACTCATCCTATTGATCGAATCTTTAATTTACTGAATTTTCTTTTTCCCTTCATATTCCCATTCCTCCATTCAATCAAACTAGCTCCATCATAGACCTCGGATGGGTAAAATAACTCCTTTACATTAACAATTTCTC